GGTGGAAAATTATAAAATCATAAGTAAAATGACAACTCATGATTTATCGTTCTTAGAGGATTAAAATGTTTGACGTAAATCTCTGGTGAAATTTCTCTTCAGTCCTTGGGTTCTCCTTATGGAATCCTTCAAAAACTTTTTGCCTCCATTTTCAGGATTTCTTTTCACAATTTAGTAATCATAATTCCCACTGCGGATGATCATTTTCTATGCATGTGTTAAATTTTCCGTGAATTCCCAATGGGGTCCTTGCTTATGACTGATGGCCCATCTCCACCGCAAGGACAAGACTTACACCACAGCGATAAAATTCACGTTTTTATGAGGCCTCTCGGGAAATGCCCACTTTACAAATTATAAGATATTTCATACTCTTTCTTATTTTCATTTAAAATCACCCTAAGTGCATTTCCTCACCGGTAATTAAACATTTTCTTCGTGAATCCTGGAGCACAGAATTACGACAGGATAATGAAATACGTTCATTTCACTTCAAGTGAATTTCAAGAATCTCCCGTCTGTATTATTAAATTTTATCTTTTTTTTGAATTCCGCTTTTATGATTTTTTTCTTCTGTTTTTATACTGAAAACCCGGTTAATGCAACGGTGAGAGTAAAATGAGAGACCAAAAATGGGAGGCGGTGAAATAAATAGAGTGTCCGAGCAAGAGAGTGCTGTTGAAAAGAAATACAGGGAAAATAGTGAAGAAAAAAGTGAAAGGAGAGAGGGCTTTTTTAAAAAAAAGTTACCATGGGGTATTTCTAAAGAAAATCCATTGGGGCACGTACGTAGTTAGTAATGGAGTTATTATTCAATCCCGGAGTCAGTATTCGATTGACCCATAATATCAAGGATTCAATTGTTGTTTCAATAGAAGTTAGTCGGAAGATGAATTGAAATATGCTATTCAGTTTTCCCGTGCAATATTTCCGGCATGTCTTTTGCAAAATATAATGCTTTCACTACCGTACTACATTTAACTTTATCACATAATCAAATTTCCACGTGGTTTCTCAAATTGTCGGATTTAATATGATACATATGCAATATTTTATCAGAAATTGATCAGATGATTTTTTTTATATGGACTTACGTTATGAAACCAGAGGATTTCACTGGGCGGGGGATTGCTCTGGACGTTGCAGATCAATTTCAGGTCATCACCTTCACGTAGTGACGCCAAAATATAGCCCACGGCGAGGTGAGCTTGAACAACTGGCGCATCTGCAATGAATAAAACAGAAATAATTTTTTGCTATCGTCTAGTATCGATTAACAATACACACAAAAAAAACTGTAAATTACAATTTCGAACTCGAAAATCTCGGGATTGGAAAGGTGAATTATATAAAATTATGGAAAATGATTTGGATGACAGTCATTGAATTTTTTACTATCAAAAATATCTTATCGGAATTGGCGAGGATGAGGGGAAAAATAAACTCGGCAACTTTCGAAAGAGTCAACCGTTAGTTGGCGGCAGCGAGAGAAAAACGTCGTTATGTACGCAGTTGGCACAAGTATTTTTTAGCTAGTCAACACAACGACTATTCATCGATATTTACCCTCGAAAAATAGGAGATATGTCATTGTTTACATATGTATGAGCTCTGTCATCAATGCCATTAATGAGATTTATAGTGATGACAACTTTAAAACTCAATCCGAAATGTTAAAATCGTATTTTTACGATCATATAAGCTTGAACCGATTCACTCTAAAGATTCAATAATTAACGAACGATTGGAGAAAAATATAAAATTGATTGATTTGTCTGTTTGTTTGGTTTGACTGAAACTTTGTTGAAAAACCCGTGTTTTTCAAAACGATCCCTTTGTTCATAAAAAAAACAATAATGTTCTCGTACTATCATACCTATTGGAAATACGATCGCTAAACGTGTACATGTTTCTTCATTCAAAGTAGAATCAATATGAAGGACATTGAACGAATTTTGCCCCAGAGCAATCGAAACACAACTGCATGTTCCTGTCAATATTTAAAAATGCCTTAATCCGGGAATATGGTCCATTGTCACTCCATTTTTGTCACTCGAGGTTCATGGGAAATATAGCAGATTGGTTCAACAAGGGGATGAAGTATTGCTAATTGCTTTCGAAATAGAAGTGTTAATAAACCCGTGAGAATTGAAATGGAAATCCATGATAAATAACGACACTCAAGAAGAATGAGATAAATAAAAAGATTGATTGTGATGGACCACCAGACGACTATAGATGGTGGAGAGGAATAAAAAAGGGAAAAAATAAAATTATATCGGAAGCGTGAAGCAGCATTAATTGCTGGCGGCGAGTTCTAGGTAATTGAATTTGCCGTTTTGCAGACGGTTACTTTCAAGGATTATTCCAACGAGTTTACGAGGCGTCGGGCAAATGCTCCTGGTGGTCGGGATCGCTTGAACTTACGACCTTAATTAAAACAGTGTCATCCAAGACATTTTTTCGTCGTCAGAAGTAATAAAAGTCCACTAGTGGATAGCAGAAACACCGGTCCACTAAACCTTTTAACAACTCGACTCAACAATTATGCCTTGATTTCACTCAAATTTACATTGGAAATTTTTGCAACCATTACCCGTTATTTTCCATTTTTCTCTATTTGAATATCATATTTTTTTCTTTATTTTTACATCCAATTAAATTCTCATTAATCAATACAAGTACTTGAGTACTTGTCTCCACCAAAAACGTACTTTCTCTCATCGCCAAATTATTT